CCCCCCCCCCCCCCCGCCGTACCATTTCAATGTCGCGACCAACGTTACCGATAATTCTCCGTTACTAGTAGCGCCATCCGTGACAAAACGCCGAAGTTGGTACAAAAATGGTAGCACCGGAGCGAATTTGCTGAGTTATCGGATATAGGATATCGTGATATGGTTTATCTATCAGATTCAGCTATTTGCCACGGATGGCTCCGATAGTAATTTCTATACCTCGAAATAAATGTCTCGCAAATGTACAATATACGGTCGTCGTAAAACATTAATTATACCATAATTAGGACAAGAAAAAAATTAATCAAGGGCATCAAATTGTTCAGGGGAATCTGTTGCATCGATAAAATGTAAAAAAAAAGAGATAACAACAGCGTAAACATAATTAATTGATATAATAGTTAATCAAACTTTAAGTAGGATAATTGGACGACACTTCTATTCTTTCCCTCATTGTCGCTTCGACGAAAGTCGAAGGCTTTCTCTGATCATTGATCATAGTTCCAACTCTCTACTCTCTCTTATCCATCTACTGCTGATATCAAGATTGTCGAAGTAAGCTAGAAACGATATCAGACTTACGCATACATAAATGTCTGTGTTCTATCGCTTAACTTTGATTACAGATCTAACAACCACTTCTGTTGGCGTATTGAGAAGATTAAAGATGCATCGACAACAAGTGTAAGTACTCGAGCAAACAATTCTTTGATTTTATAATTATATTATTATGATTATATATATATATATATATATATATATATATATATATATAATCATAATAATATAATTATAATATATATATATATATAATTATATTATTATAACACAATTCAAGGTTTTATAAGTTGTTAGATAATACACTATAGATGATTTTATTTATCAGATAAATAAGCCAACCGACCTGTTATTCTTAATGTTCTTCGAAACACATTATAAAAGTGTGGTCTAAAAAACTTAAAAATTACTTATACGTTCTTGTCGCCCGTGTAAGGCGTGAATGTATGTTTATAAAATAAAAATGACGAAAGATTAAACAAACAAAAAATTAAATCTCTCCCTGTTTTTCATATGCATCTCCATTGGGTACAGACAATGCCAAAATTACAGAATAAATTAATACTTTTATTAATAAATTGTTACCTGTTTCTCATAAAATAAAAATACAACAAATAAAACAGTGGAACGAGTAAGGGTAAAATTGTCATCTTCATAGATCTTGCAGGCAAAACATGGGAACAAAGATTATCGAAAGAAATGAAACATGTGGGATACGAAATATAAGAGACGGGCTAACATTGTTTATTACTTTTTGTATTCAAGGTATCTCGAATTAATATTACAAGCAATAATATAATCAAAGGTAATGAATAAAAAGCGATGAAACTAAAGATCAGACGTTATACACCTCATTCGTTATTGGTCACATTTTCATTCTCGAATGATTGATTTTAATCGCATTTGCCGTTCTTCTATCTCTCTCGCTCGCTCAGTCTCACTTTCTCGCATCGTCGCACGTTCTCTTAGTCTCTCTTTCATTCGCAATCTCTCATTATTTCTCAAATATTCTCTCTCACTCTCTCTATCTCTCTCACTCACGCACGCACACACACACGCGCGCGCGCTCTCACCCTTTCTCTCGCTCTCTCTCTATCTCTCATTTAATAATTTGTACTTCTCTATTGGCGCAATCCAATGCCTGTGTCTAGTTTCTAAGAAACCGGTCGATTGCTTCACCAACGTCGACAGATTTGCGAGGTTTTACTATACGTTATTTTTTTTTTTTCAAGAACAATAATAATGTTACGAAACGATACGACTCGATTCGTACGGGTTTACAGTCTTTAGGGTCGCGCGATCAATGTGTCCGACCATCGTGATCAAGCTGGGAGAAAGAGGATATGCCGTGGCAAAAACGATTCGAATTTCATCGGATAAGAAATAGCAGAACCGTAGAAAGGAGTTCGTCCTTTCCGGCCTGTAAAACGAATCCAGAGAAATCAGACCATCCTCGAACGACGATCTCCGCTTTCGAGGATGACTACACAACGTCCACGACCCAAGAAACGGTGCGAAGTGGAAACAAAAAAAAGAAAAACAATGTCGAATCGCATCGTCTCTAATTCTATAGTCCTCGCGCGACAAGAAGGCGACACCTTCGCGCTTACATTCCCCCTCTCTCTCACTGACTGCGGCAGCGGGGCAGCTGCTAGGAGGGGGAACGCAAGCGCGAAAGCGCGTTCTCGTCGCGCGACAAGAAGGCGACACCTTCGCGCTCACATCCCCCCTCTCTTACTGACTGCGGCAGCGGGGCAGCTGCTAGGAGGGGGAACGCAAGCGCGAAAGCGCGTTCTCGTCGCGCGAGGACTACAAGTCTGTCGGATGAACGGCCACGAGGACCCGAAGAGCCGGGAGAACCGGTGAACATTGGTCCTCGCGGCCGTTCACCCGTCCCGGCTGAATAATATTAGATCGATCGGCTGAAGAATGAACGCGTGTCGTAAATAATCCCTTTTCACCGCTCGATGATCGTACACCGTTCTCGAATGAATGATGATCCGGGCATATACAAAGTACGTAGAAAAAGAAGGGAACGCAAGATGTCGTCTTACGAATCGAAATACTCTTTGACTTTGTAAATAGTACGTGAACGTGTCGCGATATAGCTAGAACGCATACCGGCGAGTTCAAGACACAATTGTTGGGAAGAGAGGTGTGTGAGTTCATGAATGCGTGGACATAACCAGTGCGTTAATGAACGGGGCATTTGGGGGTTCCAGGTTTCCTCGGAGGGTTTCGGGGACTTTTGGAGGAGGCGGTCGGGGAGGACGAGACACGAGAATCGATCTTTCGGTTCGAACGGTGGAGATCGAGCAGCGTGTGGTCGAATGAGAATGAATACGCGGATTTGTTTGGAAAACGGACGCATCCGAACCGGAAAGAAAGGGTGTTCGCGGTCGAGCGTCGACGCGTTTCGGCCGACGCTCGGAAAGAAGGGAAGATCGGTCCTCGTGCTCGGCCGTGAACGGACGTAATGCAGACAACGTTTTTTCTCTTTAACGGATGTCTTGAAAGCACCGGAAGCCGGATTAATATTCTCTATATTTAATGTTACCGTTACAATGTTCGTATAACAATAAAGCAATATGCAAATAGTATGAAGACTTGTTTCCTGCTCGTGTGGCCGCGTTCCGTGCATCGCGCTAGTGGAATCATACGTTGTAACAATAAAACATTGCACTTCCACCTCTCATCACCCCGATATTCATCAATTCTTTCCTCTTTCGCCGGTTTGTATCTCCGTCGGTTTCGTTCCCGTCTAATCCCCCTGTCTCGTTCGTCGCATCCTCGCGGTCGTTTTTTGTTGGACGCGGTGCAACGTTTCATCGCCGTCTATACAATAATAATAATATATATTATATATATTATTATTATATAATATAATTATAATATTATATAATTATATAATTATTATATAATATTTTAATTATATTATTTATTAATATTATTATATTATATAATATTATATAATTATATAATTATATTATATAATATTTTAATTATATTATTTATTAATATTATTATATTATATAATATTATATAATTATATAATTATATTATATAATATTTTAATTATATTATTTATTAATATTATTATATTATATAATATTATATAATTATAATATAATATAATTGTAATATAATTATAATATAATATAACTGCAATATAATTATAATATAGTATAATTGTAATATAATTATAATTATTAATAATTATGATATAAATTATATAATTATAATATTATTATATAATATATATAATATATATTATTATAATAATAATAATATATACAAATATACATATATATTTATATATATATATATATATATATATATATATATTTATATATATGTATATAGAATATTAAATAGAATAAATT